TCAGAATGGTTTGATCCCTATCCAGCTGAATTCCTGAGAGGAGACGAAATCCAGGTCTCCTACTCCTCCGCCATCTTGCTCCGCCCCCCCCCTCACTCTTTTTGAATCAAAGACTATTTCAAGAGAGTTGACACCAAAGTTGGATCTTGAAGGAATAATAAAGATTAGCAAAATGAAGAAGGGAATGCTGTCCTAGGCAGAGGGAACAGTTTTTACACAACCCCAGAGGCATAAGAGGACTTAGAGAATTCAAGGAATTGCAAATGGTTTGTGGTAGCAATATTAACATAATGGGAATTTTGGAAAGACTAATAGAAATCAGGTCATAGAAAAGCCTTATACATACATCGTAAGGAACTTGAACTTTATATGGAAGATAATGGGGTGCCCATTGAAGTGGGAAAGTGATATAAGCACATTTACATTTAGAAATTGGACTCTGACCATAGTTTGGAGGAGAACAAGAGGTAGTTATGGAGCTAATGCAATAATTCACAGGATTAAAAAGGAGTGTCTAGACCATAAGAACAATTTCAAAAGCTATTTGGACTAATGATAGAAATCCTACTTTCCTGAAAGTGTCTTCTATCAGCCTCATGGGAGCCCTGGACACGGGCTGCCAGGTAAAGGTCAAACTAAAGGAGCTAACAGACATGTATCAAAATGTTACAAACTGGGGAAATATCAAACCAATAAAATAATTTTTGCTATATCAGAGAGCATGAAGTCTTTAGGAGAGGAAAAAATATTAACGTTATTGAGAGATTGTCATCCAATGTTTGAATCCCCTTTATAGCATCTCTGTCAAGTGGGGATCCATCCCATGTTAAATAATTCCAGTGAGAACAATCCACCATTTCCTAAGAAAGGTCACAAACATTTGCTCTAATTTTAAAAAAGGAAAAGAGAAGAAAAGAAAAGAATAACAGAAAACAGCAAGCTTTGTAGGGACTTGCAGGTCAAAATTCTAGGTGCTATTCAGATTTTCTATTGACTTCATCTTCACTCTTCCTAAAATTCATCCCTGTATAGTGATTTATATGTAGGACTGACTTTATGGGAAGGCTGCTTTTTTTTTTTTTTTCAAGTTTTTATTTATGGGAAGGTTGACTTTAAAGGAAGCTATTCCCTAAGTAATGTCATTTTGGGGGCCAGGAAGCAAAGCTTCTCCACCCTTAACCACCCCCACCCCAAACTATCATAGAGTCTCAAATCACACCATTAGCATTTCTAAAGAAATGGCACATTAAACTAAGTCGCACTAGGGTGTTAATGACATATCATATGGATTTTATCCTGACATTGGGGACCCTGAAAGTAAAGAACCACTGGCAAAGGAAAGAGCACTAAAAGTGAAGAAAAAAGCAACACCAAGGCAAGATAAGCCAGTTTGCCAGTGGTCCACATACAGAGATGTTTAGTTGATTGCATACAAAGGACTGGGAATTTGTTCAAAATATTGTTTCTAGGGCTCCTCCTTGTATTATTTTGTCTCAACAGAACTGGGATGAATTCTTGAGCAATTCTGATATGCAGCTAAATTTAGGAACTGCTAGCTGTGAAGCCACATAAAAAAAAAACAAAAACACAAAACAACATGACCCCCCCCCCCACACACACACACCCGCCTCACGTAAACACATAAAAGCAATGTCCCTATTCTGCCTAGGGCCATCTTGGTTTGTTTATACAAAGCTCTTGTTCTAAAGTCTCTAAGGTAAAGGTTATGGGGAGAATCAATGGCACATTAGGTACCTCATGAAATGTGCCATTGACTTTTTTAAAGTTTCTAAGTTTACTCAACAGTAGGTTTTCAACAAGCAGAATATGTTGATGAGTACAAAATGATACATAGCACTTTGCCTTTAAAACTTCTTTTGGCAGTTGCAGCATATGTCTCTAAGGATCAGAGTTTTATGAATTTGTAACAAACACTAGGTCATTGGGCCTAATGATACCTTTGTGAATCCAGTGGCAAGTTTCAGCTCTGATTTTTCTTTAGGAAATGGACAAGGAGATAAAAACGCATTGTTATAGTAGTGCAATGACAGAAAAGTGTTCTCATAATTATGGTTGAAGGACTCAGGTCAAAGATATAAAAACAATAATTAGCATTTGTTTAACACTTTATAGTTTATAAAGCTCATTTGCATATTTGATTCTTCTAATAATTCTGTAATATTGGTAGGTGTTGAGATAGATGAAAATTTCTCAAAACCCCAAGTGTGAGGGAATTTCCCAAGGTTTATAAGAGTATTCTAAGTTTTTTTTTTTTTAAAGATTTTATTTATTTATTTGAGTGAGAGAGAGCACAAGCAGGGGGAGCTGCAGAGGGAGAGGGAGAAGCAGGCTCCCCACTGAGCAGGGAGCCTGACTTGGAGCCCAATTCCAGAACCCCAAGATCATGACCTGAGCCAGAGGGCAGATGCCGAACTGACTGAGCCACTCAGGTGCCCCTCATTTACATGCCCTTAATAATTGTCAAGACAAGTAATAGATGAAAGCATAGGAATGGTAAAGTGTGGTGTGGGATTATATCACTTACCTTTTAGGCAGGGATTGTTTTTGGATTTTTGTACTTCCAGAAAGACTACCCTGCAGCTAGTGTATTTCATTTCTTTAAAAGAATCTCACATAGTAGGCACTTAACATCTAACTGATTACATTATTCTAGGCATAGAAATAATGAAACTCCCATAGTTCTTTCTTTGAGAAAACATATATCAAAATATTTCCTTTCTGTTTGACAAAAGCACACTGGATTTTTGCTTTAAAGAGAAATGTCATTTTTTAACTTGGACTGTGGCAGAATCAAATGAACAATAGTTTTTGATGGCTAACTCCTGTTCTTTTTGTTATTGTAAAAATCCTTAAAAAAGTATTGTGACTAAATTATTTTATTCTTAGACATTAAGTTTTCTTTCCTTTGTCTTCAAATTTTTATAGTTCTCTTTCTCATAACATTGTCCTGCTCAGCCCTAAGACCTAACTTTCACATTTGCCAGATTTTATTTTATTTATTTATTTTTTTTAAAGATTTTATTTATTTATTTGACAGAGAAAGACACAGCGAGAGAGGGAACACAAGCAGGGGGAGTGGG